GGTTATAACACAGTACATAAGCAGAATTTGTATGTCCAACCATGTAACACCTCACGTTGTAAAAGGAGTGTGATTAACATGGGAATAAGATTGTATAATAACTTGCCCTCTCAAATAAGAAGTATTCAAGAGTTCAAGGTTTTTAAGCGTCAATTAAAGGATTACTTGTTGTGCAAAGCTTTTTATTCCCTTCAAGAATATTTTTACAAGAATTAGCTTAATAATAGAACAAAGATACTTAGGTAATTTATTTTAGATATTGCATGTAATTTATAGTTTAGCTTTTGTTGCCTTATTATACTCATCCACTGTTTTATCATATTTAAAGGATTTATTATGTTATTTTTCTATGGTTTTTTATATTATTAGTCATTTGATGTGATGTTTAATCTCATATATTTTTTTATAAAACTGACTTGTCCAATTGTACATAATGTAACAGTTATGGATGTTAAATAAATCAATCAATCAATCAATCAATCAATGTTGATGGCCACTTAGTACCCTTAATAATACATAACAGAATTCAAAGAGCAAAAATAACAGGATGTCTGTAGATTAAGAACGCGGAAGTATGTCCACAGATAATGAAGATGGAAGCAGACAGTAAGGATGGCATGACTAGATTTTCTGTGTTAACAAACAGAATCATCATAATTCTACAGATACTGCTGTAGTTGAAACAACAATTAATGTTCCCAAATTTAAGGCTTTCCTTACTTTAGTTTTGAATTTTTATGATCTCAAACCCATTACCTCATGTTAATAATTCTTAATGTAAGGTCTGCCACAGTTGATTGTTGAATCCCTCATCCTCTGACAAACATTAAATTGAATTCCACTGTAATTTCCATTTCCAGTACTGTATACACAAAGCATATACTTTTTAAAGGTGCCACACAACATCTCATGCCTGAGATTAAAAAATTAAAAGAACAGATGATGATGATGATAATTTATTTAACATTCATAGCTGTTACCCAGGCACAATTGGACAAGTCAGTCAGTTAACAGCCATACACTACATGTCAACATCACTTAAAAATGTACAAAATATACAAAACAATGAATAATACAATCCCTTTTTTGATCAGTAACCCTTGCTGTGGCCTACCAACCTTGGATGACAACTCCCTGCATTTCAATATAAAGCAATAAATGTACTTAAACCACCAAAATCACAAGTCAGCCATATACAACAAAGCTTCGCACATTTAGTGCAAGTAACAGTCCAAAGACGTTCTATATACTTCTGTACCACATCAAGACCAACTCAAGTTACCAAACTACCATCTATCTTTGTTACTAAGGAACTCTTGTAGAGAATAAAATGAGCTTTGTAATAACTTTTTAATTTATTTCTAAAACCTTAAAACTGTCTAATTTTTTAATTCAGAGGGTAAGTTGTTCTGTATTTTTACTCCCATGTTAATTCCACTATTTTGACAGAGAGCAGTGTTGCATAATTGGACATACAAATCCTGTTTCCCTTTTGTGTTATACTTATGAATGTCAGAAAATTGAGTCATATAAATCTTATTCTTTTTTTATAAAGCACACGATCTCATATATGAGGGTAAGTCAATAAGTAAGTTACAAATGGATATAGAACTTAAACAAATAAGAGTACTGATTTGAAAAATGCTTTTATTTCTCAACACAATCTCCCTGTACATTAAGGCACTTGTCCCATTGTTTCACAAGCCCCTGAAAACCAGCAGTATAAAATTCTTTGGGCTGCTGTCAGAACCAGGCGTGTTCACGCGGCATGGCCTATCTCATAATGCATGACAGGTTGCATGCTTCTGTTGAATGGCCTTACGAAGTTTCCTGAGGATGTTATGGTAGAAGTCGACATTTACAGTTTGTCCTTGAGGCTGGAATGCGGTGAGCAGTATACCTTCATGATCCCAAAAGACTGTGAGCATCACTTTCCTGGAGGATGGTGTCATCTTAAACTTTTTTTGGCGACGCAGGATGTTTCCACTGCATTGACGCATGCTATGTCTCGGGCTGGTAATGGTGAACCCAAGACTCATCACCTGTGACAATTCAGGCTAGCATATGTCCTTCATTGTGGTAGCAAGTGAAATGCTGTAATGCCAGACCCATTCTTGCATTTTGTGTTGTGGGGTCAGCATGGGCGGCACCCATCGTGTACAGACTTTGTGAAAACCTAACCTGTCATGCATTATGAGGTAGGCCATGCCATGTGAACATGCCTGGTTCCGACAGCAGCCCAAAGAATTTTATACTGCTGGTTTTCAGGGGCTTGTGAAACAATGGGACAAGTGCCTCAATGTACAGGGAGATTATGTTGAGAAATAAAAGCATTTTTCAAATCAGTACCCTTAGTTGTTTAAGTTCTATATCCCTTTGTAATTTACTTATTGACTTACCTATGTATAATAAAGTTATATTTATAATCTTAAAATCACCAAACAAATTTCTACAAGAGACCCCGTTTCTGACTCCTGTAATAAGTCTTATACCTTCTTTTTCTGCATTTTAAATACTGCATAACTGTCATTTACTCCCCCCTCCCCAAATATAATACCACATTTTAGTATAGATTCAAATTTTGTAAAATAAACATTTCTTAATACAGGTATACTTACCAAGTCATGTAAGGATTTAATGAAAAAAGAGAGCTTTGTTTAATTTCTGACAAAGGTACTGTGTCTGAATACCCCAACTTAAGTTTTCTGTGATATAACTAACTAGAAATTTTAAATTTGTTATCTAACGACGATCAGTTGCCCATCCCTTATAACATACCAAATACCAGATCCCTTCCCCAGTATGTGGCTCTGTATTTGTTATATCATACAGAGAAGTATGGAATTAATTAACATAACTTTTACCTTGAATTTTGTAAAGAGAGGAAAATAAACACTACTTCTGGTATTGTGGAATTAAAATATGCCAGTGACCAGACATAACAGTAGCAGTGAGAACTTATTTTGTATTTGATAGTTTAATCAAATGAATCTTAGTCATGAAACCAGATTATATTCTTCAGAGATTTTCATAGTTGCCTTGAACCCTTAACCAAATTCCACCATACTACCTTACAAAAGACCATGACCTTTCATATCCTTTCCAGATCACCATTTATAATCATTCCACCATTCCTCATTTGATAATACATCACAGACAAGGCCAAACTATGGCTCATGGGCTGCATGCAGCTTTTCTGAACTGTCACTGCAGCCTGCAGAAAAAATACTATTCCCTCTTTTAGAAATAGGCTGCTGGCCCTTGCCAGGGCAGTCCTTCTTGGGTCTGAGTCCCTTGGGACCTGTGATCATATTTTATTGTCTCAGATTTCAGACCCCCTTTTTCATCACCTCCTGCAACTCACAGGTCATTACTGATGAGGGGTATCCAGATTTCTAACTCACAGAGATGATCTGTATGATGTGACAGACTCTTCATGCATTTCCACAAGGTTCCATCCAAGTGTTCAGGTTACTCCAGAGATGGAACTAGTGATAGATATTACATGTCTTCACAATTTTTTCCCATTTCTTTGCATTGGTGCTCATGCACTAGGTATTTGTCAGCTAGGTTTCTAGCACAAATTTCTACCTCCTTCTATATCCTAGTTCCATGCATGTGCTTGCTCTATCACAATTTTTATTTTATGGTTTCTTGATATCACGAGGGACCGGATTTTAATGCAAATGCATATTTCTTTCTTGCAACCAGAAAGTATGCTCATTGGGATATACAGGGTGTCCCAGGAGGAATGTGCCAAACTTCGGGAGGGTGTTCCTTATGTTAAAGTATGCCGATATAACCCAAAACACCTATGTCCAAAGTTGAACGGTTACGGAGATAATGGCCCGAGAA